TCTACTTCCTAGATATCCTATGGGATTCTTTCAGTTTAATACGATTCAACTATCCTAAAAGGTCTTCTCTTTGGCTGGTATAAATACACCATTCTAGGGTTCATGTCTCATAACACAATTCTTGCATACTTAATCTCTTCCCTATTGCTTGAGTCTTAATATTGCTTACTACCTGGTGTGAAGTCTAGACTTATGTGTTTGGCTTTCCTTGTCAATTTTTTTTAATGGTACCATACATACTATAGTTAGATTTAAGGTACACTATCATTGCAGGATCACACTACTTGGAATACTCACTTAAAGGTTCGACTTCTCTCCTCAAAGGTTTGTTCATGTATATGCATTTCATGCTTAAATTTCCAGTTCATTTTGTCTAGTTGTGTTGCCTCATCAGAATTACTTACTACTTTCATGCGAGCCGGCCTCACACTTTAAGACAGTCCACATAGGCCAACATCTTTTTCCCGAAAGTGAACTTTTCATCCTAGATTTGTAAAGATTACTTTTTCTCTTGGCATGTGTCTTCTGGTTCCTTTGTCTGAAATATTCATGCGCATGCCCAATCTCAGCGAAGTCTAACGACTTCGCTCCCTCATTCCATAACAGAATGATGGTGGCATCATTGTTCCGTTTATCTAGCTTCAAACCAGAGGCTATGGAGTCCATGACTAGACTTCTGAGATATTTGTATTCTGATAAACCTTACTTAGGCCCTGGAAAATCATGGTTCCACACCCATCATTTCAACTTCTTAAATAATAAATAATTTACTATCTAAGTAACATAATAGATTCTTCTGAATATATGAAAACGGTGCTAAAACGTGATTCAGGATATCGAAAAACCTTAGGATAGGTCTTAGGTTTCCACGTGTTGGCTAGTCGCCGTCATGCGCCAATGCTGGTGGTTGTCGCCAACGAAAGAATATTCCTTCAAGGTTGATTGGAATCTTCTAGATTTCAGTCACCTATGAGAGTATTCTGTTGGCATCAAAAGGATTTTAACAAGGAAAATTACCTTGGGAATATTCCTGTTCAGGGACTGAACTAGGTTTAGTTTGTCGATTTGAACCGGTTCATTACTCAGGTTTGCCGAAAAGACTCACCGATTTTAGAAAAAATTCATCGATAAGTTGATAACTAAGATTCCAATTTTGTGATAAGTTGATATAAATCCAATTTTGTGAACCATTACTAAGATTTGCCCACTTAATTAAAATAGGTGCAATAACTAAGATTCCACGTAAGCTTATTTATAATTTGTACCATATTTATCCCTTAGGCTTATAAATTGTAATACATACACAAAATTTCTTACTTATGGGATTTTTTGTGGTTTAACTAATCCCTTAGTTGTAGGATTAGTTAGAGCAATATAATCACCTCAACCCCCAGTCCGTTTCATCCCTTGTTTTTTCCTTGTTCTAAACAATTCCATTGGTTAGATCATGGAATCAATCCTCCTCTTTCTTCTCTCTTCTTTCATGGATGATATTTTTGTGTTCCTCCCTCCAAATTCGTTCATGACCATTTCAGTTGTTACATAGCCTTCACAATTTTTTTTACATATTCATTTTGTAATATATTATCAATTGAAAGCAATAATACAGTATCATGCTTTTATATTTGCTCTATTCTATTTTTGTGCTATAATAAGGGTAAAATGAAACTTAGTATTTGTTCCTTCTTTTTTTTGTTGAGTATTTTTCCTTTGATGGAGGTATATTGATATTTCTATTTCTAATGTTCCACCATGGAGGTTCCCAGCATTTTTCTTCCTATACAATAGGAAGCATTTGTCTTCCTATACAATGGGTAGTTACTAAATTATATCGGTTCTGTAGGTAGATATCATTTTTTTTCATATATAGTAGGAAATTACTAGATAATATTTTAGTTTGAGTATTTAAATATTCAAAATTTAAAAACTGAACTTTCTCAAAAAATTTAAAAAAAAAAACGAAGAAATAATACAAAAATTAAAGAATTTAATTAAATATTTTTATCTGAAGGGGCAAAATTCGTATTAAAACATGTAATTAATTTGATAATTGGACTCAATCCCAAAAAGTACATATATTTTGGACCTAGTTCCAAAAGCCCCATTAAAATCCAGCTTCGTTTTCTCCAAATCTCAACCAAAAATCACATTCAACACATAAAATTCGTACCTGAGATGACAATCAGCATATATGGAATCACCACTTAGTTATAAGCGGATGAAATGAAGTAATTAGCATATATGGAATCACCACTTGGTTATGATCTAACGAAGTAATTAAGTTTTTTTTTTTTTTTTTTTCGCAAAGAATGAAGTGATTGAGTTGAAAACTCTAAAATGTCTAATTGAAAATGTGATTTTTTAAGTCAAATTAAGCAACTCAACCACGTATACCGTACCACTTGCATCAAATTGTACTTTACATAATTTAAAAATCGGTGCTCAAGGTAGAAACGCCCATACGAATTGTTTAATGCGTACGTCTCCATTTTGCTCAAACAATTCTCTAGGTAACAATTGACTTCCCCATACCCTTCTAATACCAATGAAATAAGAAATTGCACGTGTTTTTTCTTTAAAAAAAAATAAAAAATGAATCGGTGAATTCGTCACACTAGTCTACTTTTCCGATAAAAATATGGTAAGATTTACTTTCTATTAATTTGTTAGACAGCTTCATTATATATAAATCTGACCAAACAAGGTAACTATATCTGGGTTGATTTAATACAATATAGAATCTGGTCATGGTCCAATGTATGTTTTTTTTCTCTTAATTTTGGGATTGATTTAAGAAACCCTAAACCCTAATGTAATGTATTTAAGAAACCTAATTAATGAGCCAAATATGAAGGAATAATTTTTACTTCAAAGTGTAAATAATATCGTTTATTAAAGAAAACTCTTAGCACTCATGGTGTGCAGAGCACTGATTTCAATGACAACGACCAACAAATATTAAAATGAAAACTTGTTTCTATTTTTTATTTTAGAAAGGAAAGAAGAAAACAGGGTTTAGTTACTTCTCTCTGCCTCTCTATGCCAAGTCCTAAACCTCATATCGACCACCACCACCAGTGGTGGAGCCAGAATACTAGATTAGGAGGGGTCTTTAAGTCATATGAAAGATTGCAATATAACTAATGGGAGTAAATTAAAAGTTTTATTTTTTATTTTTTTTTATTTTTTTGTATTGGCATGAAAAATTTTAATCAAACAAGAATGGTAGAGCTTTAAATTTTGTATGAAAAACCTAGTATTGAAATGATTATATCATAAATCAAAATTTGTTTATGAGCTTTGATAAAAAAAGATTAACACATTAATTACATTCGAACAAAAATTTAAGGTCGTTACTAGACTATATAAGCCTTTGTTTTATATAAATGGCTAAAAAAGGGGTATGATTTTTATATGTTAAAACATAAGGCTTTTTAAAATAAAAAAATAATAAAAAATAAATAAAAAATAAAAAAGAGCTTAGTTTAATATGGTAAAAAATAAGGCCATTTTATTCTTTCAATTTAGAAACATCTAAAAGATTGCGGCATACCAGCAAGTCTCGCACCATGGACGCTTGGAATTGCAAAATCCCACTAATTAATGAGCATTCTGCAAAAACTTGCATAAAGTACATACAAATGGCTGAAATTCCAGGATAGGCCTGGCCAATGCTGGGCTATATGTGGCTCCGTCACTGACCACCACCACTTAGTTCTCTCTCTCCCTTCTTACCAGATCCATCATTTGAATGGATCACGAAGGATGGAGTGGGCGGGTCGCAGAGGAAGATGTGAGTGGTTCGAATGGGATGGGCCGAAGGCGGATGGCAGTGGATTTTTCTTCTTCAACTGATTCGCTAGGGCATGCAGGTCTGCATCTTTGAGAATTGCAAGATCTGCATGCAGGTCATCTTTTTCATGAATTTCAAGATCCGTATCTGATTCTTCATATTTGGGGCATGCAAGCTTTTAATCTTAATTGTTTCCGTCTGATTCCTCATCTTTATGGCACGCAAGTTTGATTCTTCTTCATTTTTTTTTCCGTTTGAATCTTAACTTTTTCCGTCTGAGTCTTTAGTAGTGACTAAGCTCACGACTTGGGAGGAGCAGAAGGGGCCGAAAATAAGAAGGGAGGGGAAGATAGGATTGCCATTTAAAAACTTTCATTAAAAGGCGGCTGTCCAAAAAACGCATGAGACTCTCTCTCTCTCGTTCCCAACTTTGCAAACATCCTTAGCGCTGGCCCTTATTGGATTAGTAAATAGTGTGCCAGGTCATTACCTTACATGTGCAAAACATGTGCAAATATAGAGTATCTTACAAGCCTTATTAGAATAGTATAAATAGCATGTTCTCCTCATATATTGCTGTTGTCGATTGTATACACAAAACTGTTAAGAGAAATACATTGAGAGCTTAATCATTTTCTTCTCTGTTCTTCTTCCATTTTTGCATTTTCTTGATTTTCATTGAATTCTTCTTACTGTTAAGATGGTATCTAGAGCCAGTCTTGCTTGCGCAATGGAGATAGGTTATGCGGTTCGCTGCTCCAATGGACGATAAGGTGATTGTTTTTGTAATTTTTCACAAACCCTAGAAGTGCGATTGGGTCTGGCATTTTTTTTTATTTTTATTCCTAGTCGATTTGAAGGCCGATGCCATAATTTTTTGTTGAATTGAAGATATATGTTGATTTGATGAAAGGCTACTGCCAAAATTGCTCCGTATTTTGAGGTTTCTTCCATTAATTGATTCGTTTGAAGGCCAATGCCATTGTTGAAGCTTGTCTATGGTTCTTAATCCTTGGGTGTTGTTTCAAATTTTGTACAAAGATTGCATTCTTGATTCTTTCCACCGCCTGATATTTCCTCTAAATTTTTCTGGGTTCTTGAAGACTGTATTGTTTACTGTCGATCGTTGTGTATTTGTTCTTCACAATCATGTTGAATCAAGTGAAAATTGAAAGTTTGTTGGGTATGTTGACTATAAAGCTCAATGATGATAAATTTCCTTAAGTGGAGTTTTCAGTTTAGTTCTATTTTGCGTGGATATGATCTTCTTGATCATTTCACAGGTGATTCTGTATGTCCTCCCAAATTTGTTCTCATTCCTAAATTAGGGGTTACTACTGTGATAAATGCTGCATATAAAGATTGGGTCAAAATTGATCTGGCACTGTTAAGTTTGTTGATTGCCACACTAGGTGATGATGCTATTGAACATGTGGTAGGATGTAAGACCTCTTATGAGGCATGGGTTGCATTACATGATCGATATATGTTTGTATCTAAAGCTATTGTTAACCATTTGAAAGTTGAACTTCAAACTATGCAAAAAGGGGGGGATTCCATAGATAAGTATCTACTGCGGTTAAAGGCTCTTAAAGATCAATTACAAGCTGCTAGGGAGAAAGTGTCAAATAATAATCTCATTATTGTTGCACTAACAGGCCTACCTTCTAACTATGATACAATTCGAACTGTTATATTTGCAAGAGAGTCCCTTATTACACTGAAGGAATTCCGGGCTCAGTTGATTGGTGTAGAGAAGAGTATTGACGCTCGAATGCATTCTTTAGTTCAGGGTATGTCTGCCATGTTTGTGAATGCTAATTCTTCCAATGAGATTACTGGGAGTCCTTCAGGCACTTCAAGTAGTTCTCCTCCTGCTCAGTTTTCTCCAAATCCTTACTATTCTTTGATTGGTAGTTCTTCCTCCCAAACAAGTTATCATTTATCTGGTAATCGTTTTCAGTCTAATGGTTTCTCAGGCTCCAATTCTAATGGCAGATTTTCTGGTCCTAATAACTATAGGCCAAGAAGCAATGGCAATTATAAACCAAGGTTCAATGGGTCTAGATCTGGTAACAATTGGCAATCTTGGTCTGGTAGTACCTCTAATAGATTTGAACCTGTTCCAGAGTGTCAAATATGTTCTCAAAAAGGTCATGTTGCAGTTACTTGCCTTTATAGGAATGACAATGGACAATCTGTTCAGGAGTGTCAAATCTATGGTAAACGTGGTCATATAGCCTTAAATTGCAGACATAGAGGCAATTATGCATATCAAGGAGCTCAACCTCCTCCTTCTTTATCTGCCAACTATGCAAATTAGAATTTTAATGTGTCTCCTTACAATAATATGGGATTGTATTATTCTCAGTCTCAATTCGGTAATATGAGCTCATTTTCTACGGGTCGTCATTTTAATCAGTCTCCTCACTTCAGTTCTCCATTTTTGCCACATCAGTCTATGCCATCTCAGTCTATGCCACCTCAATCTACGCCATCTCAGTATATGCCACCTCAGTCTATGCCACCCCATTATATGTCACCTCCACTTGGATTTCCAGCAATGAATGCACAACCTTCTGCTGAGATTTCAAATGTTGATTCATGGATCCTTGATACTGGTGCTACTCATCATATGACACCAGATTTAACAGTCATTCCTCGCTCCATTTCATATGAAGGTTCTTAGAAGATCATAGTTGGAAATGGTGAAGGTTTGGAAGTCAAAAATATTGGTCATGGCACTTTGCAAACTCCCATTCACACTTTGCATCTTAAGAATATTTTACATGTGCCAATGTTGACAGTCAATTTGTTATCTGTTAAAAAGTTGTGTAAAGACAATAATAGTTGGTTCATCTATGATGATGCTCATTTTTTTTGTGCAGGACAAGGCAACAGGGGCAATCCTCCACCACAGAAAGAGTAGCAGTCATGAGTTGTTTCGAGTTCCTGTGCATATTTTCCCAACACTTATGGATCCAGGTGTTTGTTCTTCTGCTTATTTGGGACAGTCCGTGAAAATTTCTCTGTGGCATCAGCGTTGTGGTCATTCCTCTAATGTTATCTTGACAACAATGCTCAAAGGGTCTAATATAGCTGTTACTCATGATGAAACAGTTAGAATCTGTTTTCATTGTCTTGATGGTAAAATGAGTAGACTTCCATTTTCTGATAGACTTGATAAAGTAGAGCTTCCTTTTTACAAAGTTCATAGTGATGTATGGGGCCCTTATCTCGTTATTTCTGTTGAAGGGTTTCGATATTATGTGACTTTTATAGATGAAGCTACTAGGTTTGTATGGATTTTTCCAATAATGAATAAAACAGAAGTGTTTGGTTCCTTTGTCAAATTTTGTGCCTATATTGAGAATCAATTTCATGCTAGAATTTAAGTATTACAATTTGATGGTGGTGGAAAGTTTCTTAGTAATGCTTTCAAGGAATTTTTGGGCACCAAGGGTATATTACACTTTATTTCTTGTCCATACACACCACAACAAAACGGATTAGCCGAGAGGAAGCATGAACATCTTATTGAGACAGCTATTCCAATGCTATCTGTTACATAGTTACCTTACAAGTTTTGGTCCTATGCAGTCATTCATGCTGCATTCTTGATCAATAGGATGCCGTGCAAGAGTCTTAGGGGTGGTTTGGGAGTGAGGTGCTTAAAAAAAAAGCTGTGAGGGTTTTAGGTATTTGGTAAACTGAAAAAAAAATGGCTTATTTTGGAAGCTGCTGTGAGAATAAGCTGAAATCAAAGGAAAAAGTTGAAGCGGCTATTTGTAGCTTTGGAAAACTGGCTTTTTTTTCAAAGCACACAAAGCTACAGTGCTCCTTTGATAAAAAGACCCATTATCATACCGCTTTTTTTTTCCAAAAGCACTTTTATAAAAAAGTTTATCAAACACTCTGCTGATTTATTTCACAGCCGCTTATTCTCATAGCACAGCCGTTTATTCTCACATCAGTTTTTTTTTCAAAGCACATCAATACCAAACCAGCCCTTAATATGGTATCACCTTTTGAGAAGTTGTTTGGTAAGAAACCTGATATAGCTCATCTTAAAGTTTTTGGATCAGCTATATATCCCTATATTAGGCCTTACAACACACATAAATTGCAGCCACGGTCTACTCAATGCGTGTTTTTGGGATATTCACCAAGCTATAAAGGAGCTATATGTTATAGTATGTCCACTGGGAAAAGTTTGATTTCTCGTCATGTCATTCATGATGAATCTACATTTCCTTATAATCATGATAGTTCCAAGACCCTTGATGTAGGTTCTTTTACCTTTGCTGGTTCTCGCAGTTATGTCAAACCTGTAATTATACAGCTTCCATTTTCTGTGCCTTCTTCTTCAAGTGTTGGTTCCAGCAATGCTTCATGACCGAATTCAGTCTCTTAAACACTTGGTTCATTATCACAACATCAAAGTGTCTCACCCTCTTCAGGGTTTTCCAATTCTTTGGGAAATGCACAGGACTCTCATACACATGCTACTCTTTCCAGCCCTATGTTACCTGTCCATCAATCCCCTCAATCTAGTACAATTGATCTCTCTGTTCCCCAAGGAATTCAAACAAGGTTGAGAACTAGTGCAATCACTAGAAAGGATTACTCCGCTTTGCCTGCTATTTTTCCAGAAATGCAGTCTTTGTCTCATCATGATGATGCTCACTTTTCGGGGGGTTTCACCTTTGTTGCTGACATTGTAGATTCCTCAGAACCATATACTTTCAAACAAGCTTCTCATATTCCTCAGTGGCAAATAGCGATGCAAGAAGAGTTTGATGCTCTTCAAACACAAGGTACTTGGATTTTAGTTCCTAATACTTGTGATAAGACTGTCATAGGCGACAAGTGGGTGTACAAAATAAAATGGAATAGTGATGGTTCTATTTCTTGATATAAAGCACCGTTATTTGCTCAGGGATTTAATCAAGAAAAGGGGCTGGATTATATAGAAACATTCAGTCCCGTGGTTTGCCATACCACAGTTCGTTTAATTTTAGCATTAGATGCCACACGTCGCTGGGATCTTCGACAGCTTGATGTGAAGAACACCTTTCTTCATGGGGAATTGCAAGAAGAAGTGTATATGAAGCAACCCCAAGGATTTGTCAATCCTCAACTTCCTAATCATGTGTGCAAATGGGTTAAGTCTCTTTATGGTCTCAAACAAGCTCCTCAAGCTTGGAATGCAAAGTTCACTAGTTATTTGCAAGCTATTGGATTTGAAGCTTCAGTATCCAATTCTAGTCTTTTTGTCAAAACTGATGGATCTCAGGTAGTCATTCTACTTATTTACGTAGATGATATTATCATTACTGGATCTCACTCTCAGTTGATACAATCTGTGATTAGAACTCTCAGTGAAGTTTTTGATCTTAAGGATATGGGCAAGTTGGCTTATTTCCTTGGATTACAAGTCACTTATAAAACCAATGGGGATCTGGTTATTAATCAAGCAAAGTATGTCAAAGATTTGATTCACAAGGCAAGTATGGATGACTGTAAACCATGTTCAACGCCTTGCAAGCCTCATAATTAGGTTCTTTCTACTGAAGGTACCTTACTATCTAATCCTACGTTATATCGAAGTTTGGTGGGGGCTTTATAATACCTCACCTTTACACTTCCAGATATTTCCTTTGATGTGAATAATGTGTGTCAATATATGAGTGCACCTACTGATATTCACTTTGGTATGGTCAAAAGAATAATTCGATATTTGAAAGGGATTGTTCAGTGTGGTTTGACATATATTTCTGGGAGTTCTATATTTGTGCTGCATATAGTGATTCGGATTGGGCTACAGATTTGAACACTCGGCGATCTATCACAGGGTATGTGGTGTATCTTGGATCTAATCCTGTTTCCTGGCAGTCTAAAAAGTAGTCTTCTGTCTCTCGCAGTTCCACTGAGGCAGAATACAGAGCCTTAGCACATACTACTGCTGATATTGCATGGATTAGACTCATACTCAAGGATTTGCGGAGTTTTTACCCTCTCCCCAGTGTTGTACTGTGACAATCAATCTACAATAGCCTTGAGTTTAAATCTGGTTCAACACTCTCGTATCAAACACTTGGAAACAGACTTCCACTTTGTTCGTGAAAGAGTTCAAAAAGGGGATCTATCGGTGGAGTACTTATGCACTAAAGATCAGGTTGCAGATGTGCTAACCAAAGGACTACATGGCCCAGATTTTCTTCGTCATTGTTTCAATCTTAAACTTGGTTACCCAAGTTAAGATTGAGGAGGGGTATTGGATGAGTAAATAGCGTGCCAGGTCATTACCTTACATGTGCAAAACATGTGCAAATATAGAGTATCTTACAAGCCTTATTAGAATAGTATAAATAGCATGTTCTCCTCATATATTGTTGTTGTCGATTGTATACACAAAATTGTTAAAAGAAATACATTGAGAGCTTAATCATTTTCTTCTCTGTTCTTTTTCCATTTTTGCATTTTCTTGATTTTCATTGAATTCTTCCTTACTGTTAAGAGCCCTAGCTTTTAGCTTGGGTGCTGGTGGCTACCCTTGTCCAAAACTCCTTGTTCTCCTATTTCCTTCTTTCTCCTGATCCTCTTCTCTCTTTTTCAATTTTTCCTTGAGATTTGTCTCATTTTCCTTGAGCTTTATCTCAATTTTTCCGTGAGTTTGTCTCACTTTTGGACTTCATGTCCCTTCTCTCCACCCCTCTCTCTCCTCTAGCCATTCTTTTCCAAATCGAAAACTCCATCTCCCCTCACTTTTTCCCTCTGCTTCCCTTCTCTAAGACCATCGCCACCCTATCCTTTGCTCTAATTTGCAAACTTCGGGCCTAATATGGTTGCCAAATTTATTTCCCTCCCTCACTATCCCTCTCCCAACCAGCATGCTGGATTTACCTCAAGGCCAAGTGTACTGCGGCTTCGGCCAAAGTAAGGGTATTTTATATACCCTCTTAGCCTCACCTTCTATCCATGTGTTATTGTGTTTGTATATATTTGCAAGGATTCGTGAATGGAATTTGGATATGGTGACTATCTCTTCGTTCGGTGCCTTTGGTGAAGAAATCTGGATGTGGTGTGCTCCTAGTTATAGGTTTGGTACTTTTGTGTTGTGATGTCTTGGTCGTTTTCACCACTCGGTTGTTTTCTCTAGTGTTGCTGCTTTAGTAGGTGCTGGCAAGACTTTCGTGGCAGTGACAGCGACGAACACTGCAATCGGAGATTAGGGATTTGGGTTTTCATTTTAGTTTATTTAATTGGGCTAGGCTTTTATGTATATGTTTCCCCCAATGTATTTGGGTTATTTTCCCTTCC